TACGGATCTAGACTTACCAATACTATCACATGCAAAGCTCGACACCGAATGTTAGTATTGACGATGAAGTAAAGAATAAATATAAAGATAAAGACTTAGATTAAGTTCTTTGTCTTATCGAGATTAAGCTACGATGAGCCTAATTATAACTTCGATTATGACTCTTGACTAGAGATCATCCAACACTTTGTTTCTTACAACTTTCAAAAAATCTATTAGTGTTTGGCTTCAATATTCCTGCAACATAAAAAGGAAACTGTTTATAAATCACTTGAGTCAAAATAATGAAATGAAGATAAAGTAAGATCGAAAGTTTTCTACTTATGTTTATGAGACCATGAGAGGCGTAAGTGATGCCTTTTTCCACGCTTCACAGCTTTAACATTTTCATATTTGTGACTTCGTTGTTAGTTCGAAAGACTGATTTGTATTGGTCTTGTTTCCACGCTCCTTTATGCGGTTGTCTTACACCCTCGCCCATCCTTTGTAAGACAGTGTTGATGGAATTTTTCAGTACCCTCCTCAAATATTTTGTCCCAGTTCGATATATGTTTAACTCTCATAACATGATTTGTTAATTGTGAGGTTGCCCATTCATGAATTTTGAGGCCCCTACTAAAAATTATGTTCCAGTTTGCCTCAATAAGTAATATATGAGATTTGTGGAATTTTTGAGATCATCTAAAAAATTCTATCGAGTTGCGAACTTGAATATTGTAATTTTTGAGACAACCCAAAGCTTACTCAGTAGCATTTTGGTCTTATGTTTTTACTTGTTGAAGAAGTCCATCTTCAAATGAGTTTTTGAGATCCTCTCAACAATTCTGTCCAGTTTCAATTATAAAGAGAAATGAAAAACTTATTGTGTATATGACCAAGCTGTTGTGGTGCCTACGTATCCCGGTGGAGCTGGAATTAGGTAAAAAGTAGTACCCCCTCAGAGATTAATAAAAGTAAGAATTTTACAAAGAAACCGACAGAGGCTGACATAGACCGCCTACGTATCTCATTCTTGAGATTCAAATCGAACATACTTCAAACATATGAAACATTAAAAGGGGATAAAAGAGTGACTGAGGCCGAAATAGGCCGTCTACCTTTCTCATTCTTGAGAATTCAGGTCAGATATATTTAATATACAAGAAATGTGCGATAAAATGGGGGGGGGGGGGGGGGAAGGGTTAAATACATTTTAAAAAGAAAGGTAACAAAAACTTCATATGAAGAATTTTGGCCAATTTTGGTCATTCTTCTTCTCGACCTTTGATGACGAATATCTTCAAATGTCTCAGTTCAGAAATATCTTGTAGTCACTCTTAAGCATTAAATTTTTCATCCCTTAAGGTAGTTGCCTCAATATTGATCAAATTATTGTTGATCATGTTTTGTATCTTGTGATTCAAGGTTGAACAATTCTCTGTGTCGTGTCCAATGGATCCTGAATGATAAAAATATCCGTGGTCAGCCCTTTAAAATTTTCCCAAAGGATTGGCTGGTCTTCCTTCTGTAAGGTAGAGTATTCCTATTGCTTTGAACCTTTCATAAAGTTGAGTTCGAGATTTCCTTAATTGTGTAAATACGTTAGGATCCTTCCTAAAGTTTTGACCGTGAAATTTTTTTTATTGACATTAGGAATTTGATATTTCTTTTGGGAAGATAACTACATATGGGTAGTCTTGACTACACCTACCTCCTCTACTTTCCTTTTTGATGTATCCGTATCACTTATTCTTGTAGCTTTTCCATTAGCTCATAGTGTAGTAAAGTTCATGATCCTTCCAGTCTTGAAACCATCTTCCAAAGCTTCTTACATTTTGACGATCTCGAAAAATTTTTGTCCCATCATATACAACATTCTTTCATAGTGCTCAGACATTTGAATTTGAATGAACATTTCAGTTCTCTCACGTTCGAGCTTGGGAGGTTGAACTCTTACGACCTCTTTTATCCAACGAAGAGCATTCTGTCGATAATTTTCTGTAGACTTATGTTTGATCTTCTCCAAGTAGTAGCGATCTGGGGCAGCGTTTATGTTATGCCCCAATCTTTCCTTGAAATCCTTTGTGAGTGCATCCCAACTTGTCCATTGTTTTAGTTCTTGTGAAGTAAGCCTTTCTAGAGATTCTCTACTTAGACTTCGACTGAAGAGACGCATCAACAATGCTTCATTTTGCCAACTCCCACGCATTGATCACAATAAACTTTCAGAAGTGCTAGAGGATTTCCAGTTACATTGAAAGTGACAAACTTTGGCATTTTAAACCTTTACGAAAGGTCCAAAATCTTATTAATGCATAAATTTTCATAATTTAGCCCCACCTCTTCTAAAGTGAAATCCAGTTCTTTTGTCACCTTCACGATCTCTTCCTTTATGATCTTCTTAGAATTTTCTTCTTAGTCCCTCCCCTCCTTCTCCTTCTCTTTGTAAAAGTGAAATTCGGAACAGGAAGTATAGTGAAGATGTGGTTTGGTTTGGAATGGAATATTAAAGTGACTTTCGGAAGTAAGCATTGACAGTATTGTGTATTTTTAGTGTCTTTTGTAGGGGTATGGTACATGAAAGGAGCTGTTTGAGGATTGTTGACGTTTAAGCTTGAAAACTGAGGGAAAATTTGAGAGTTATTTGTGTTTTGGTTTTGAAAGAGGGGGAAAACATGAGGGTTGGTGTTCAGGTTCAGAAAAGGGTGTGGTGCTTGGCATAAAGTGCTGGCGTGATGAAGATTTGAGGTGGTTAGGTTGATGGTGGAATTTTTTTCAATAGAACTCGAGGGTGGGTTATTTAGGACATGCTCCAAGTTTGAAGTCAAAGGAGAAAAATGGTGTTGAAGTTTTCCATCGCTTGGAGTGTTCACATCGACCCGCGGAATTGAAAATTTTTTATTTTTATGGAACTCAACCCTCAACAAAGCAATCTGTAGCATCAACTATGCAATTTAACTCATTTTGTTCAACGACAAACAGTTGAACTTTAGTAACTTCATCCAGGCCGACATTCTCATATTCAGCATCTTTTTTATTCTCTATTTCAACAAATTTCGATTGTAAAAGTAGTCTTTGAGAACTTTGAATGCTCAACAATTAACACAAATCAGTTTTGAGTACTTGACAAAGAAAATTAACTCAAACAATAAATGTGTTTTCTATAGGAAGTAGGTAATACAAGTTATCACACAAAGCTGTAAGAACAGAAGAGTCGCTTTATTTAAAGTAAGACTAGCCCACAAATGTAAAGAAATAATTAGATAGACAGGAATTTGTCCATATGATTTTTAGCTTTGTGAAAAATATGTCGATTGAATATTTAATTGTCGTACTTTTGGTTTTTGAGTGAGATGTAACACTTATTTCATTGTAAGAGTTGAAAAAATAATTTTTTTCAAAATGGAGACCAAACATGGGAAGGCAGTCTACGTATCTTACGGTGGAGAATTCAAGTCCTTCTTAGTTCGACTCACTTGAATTTTTTTTATTTGAGATGGAAAATTCAATTTTTTTTTGAGATGAGACAGTAAGATTTAGGATTTGAAAGGATGTTTGGAATTCTTTTGGGACAAACTAAAGACTCGAGAGTATATGGACGCACTTTGATAGTTGAGTTGATATTTATGCTTAAGAAATTCTAGAAAGTTACCCAAAAGAGTAGGCTAGAACATATTTAAATAGAGTAACATATTCAAAAAAGCAGTTATAACACTTAAATGAATATTGCACGGTATACAGAAATATGTGACCCTTTTATGCCAATGGTAGGCCTAGCGATTTGCCGGATGTATATGTTATTTGAAACATTTCATTGCCCTCGCAAAACCCAAATTTTTACAAACTTTATAAGTAAAATTAAATGGGGATACATAATAGGGAAAATGAAATTCAAAATATTCAGTCCCACGCAGGGGTAATATGCTTCCATGGAAGGTCCTTCCTTCTTCATTTCTTCTAATCTCTGAGTGCCATGCCTTAGGATGGACTAGAAAGTTGTGAGCTATTTCTTTTACTAGAATAATCTATAATCTACTCCCGACCCCGAGGACAATGACTTTTTATATGACGTATACATCCTTCAAATTTAAACAAATAAATATGATTGTCCGTTCAAGCCATGAGCCCTTTTGGACTCAAGGTGGTTTCTCTAATGCGCCCAACGCACCTTGGGTGATGGGTAATCTTAGGCTAATGCTTGTATTTGAATTTTGTTTTTTCTCTATCTTAGGTTGACTAAAATTGGCTTAGAAGTGACGGCTACTCGAGTCGGACAAACAACAAGGTGAAACTAATAAACAACATTGGAAACCACAACCCATCTATTCCTCTATTACTTCCAAAATTTAAACTTGTGTGTTTTTTGAAAAAAGTCGTGGTAAGCCACGTAACCGCCTTTGTCATAATATATTTAATTTTCCATTTGGCGGGGTCGGTGCCATGAAATGTGACATTTTAAACATACTATAAAAGAAAACAAATATAAAATTATTTACACATTGCCAAATAGGCTAGTTTTTAAGGTAATAATCATTCAACTCCTCAGCAGAGTCTTCATTCTATTTTATTTCGAAAAGAAAAAAATATTTTTTTATTGTTTTAAAACTTGTTAGAGTCTCCACTTAATTATTCAGATTAATTAAGAAAACTTTTCTTCCTATCGACTAAAACAGTAAATCATATTGATAGATTTTTAAAAGGAGGTTCGAGGATTCATATTTATATTTTAGGAACGTATTTAAGGCACCTAAAATATCCGTTAAGACGGTTTTCTAGCAACTAACTTGTTTGGATAAACTGTCTAACTTATGATTTTGAGATAAAAATTATTTAGATTTGTTCGAAAAAATAAAGTGTTAATTTTTATATATCTAACTGAGATCCTACAAGATTTATTTTTAGTTCATTTATTTTTATTTATTAAATCTTTAAGAGAAAGTGGCGTCTTGCGAGGATTTTGAACCTTTCTAACAGTAAAACTAACAACAATTAATAACAAATAAGTAAGAGAGAGAGAGAGAGAGAGAGAGAGAGAATTTGATTTATGTCCGTCATGACCGGTATTTGGACCCACTTTGTTTTGGGCCTTTGGCCCCTTTCCACATGTCCTAAAATTCTAACAATACAATAATGATAAAAGAAACAAGGGCATAGACCAAAAAATAAAAAAATACAAAGTTCAGAAAAAAAAATTGGGCTTCTTAAGCAAAAATCCTCAACTTCTTGGTTTGTACGTCGATTTGTGAGCTTTACTCGATGGAGGAATTTGAGCCTTGGCGGCTCTATGTAGGAATGCGAGAGGAAGAAAATTGTTCATAGTGAACTCGAGTTCCTTTACATTCAACATAAATAAAGGGGAAATTTAATAAATAATTTAACTATCGTAGCATAGGGAAAACAAGTTAACTTACTGGAAAATATTCACTTATTTGGGAAAAAATAGTACATCGGCATATATATAGCCAGACCTTTCTTTTAAAAAAATAAATAAATAGAGCATAACATTCATCTAAAGAATTGTGATCATTAATAGTACCAATGCGATATGACAAGGATTGAGCAACTAAGCTAAGAGCATTAATAACAGTGAGCCTAAATCACCACATATTTTATAATAACAAACTACATATTTACCAAAAACTAAGTATTTGAAAAAAACATAAACTAAAAGAAATTGCAGTACAATAACATGACAAAGGGGACTGAGGATAAAAGGGGTAATAAATTACAACTAGAGAGATAATCGATCAACATTATTTCTGTACACCTCCAAATTTAATTACTTAGAGAACTAGATAGAGCTAAACATATATAAGCTACCTGGGAACACGTAATAGCAAAGTATAGGTCACTTGAGGATGCTACAGGCAAAAATACCAAAAGAAACAAGGGATTTAGAGGACCATACAATCGAACAATGACACCCATATCGTAATGACAATCAAACATAACGAGAATCATACTAATGTCACGAAACAAGTCACTATAAGTTGACAGCAACACAACAAAGCACAACCTTCCAGATTATAACACTTGAAAGGGCAAAAAGACACTATAGGCATCAAACATGGGGGATCAATAGGGAAAAGCAGAACATTATAGATTTTTTTTTAAAAAAGACAGTGAGGACTCTAAATGGGTAGTAATAAATACAATCCAAGGACTCTAAAACAATAGCTAAATTGACAACTTTTCAATAAAAATAATAAAAATTCATAAAAATATATAACCACATTAAAACATACTCACAAGATGAAATGATAAAAAATATATTGTCCATCTATGCACTTAATAGTAATCAAATTAGGTGATACCCGCATTAAACATGTAGAAGCCACTAAAATTTAATAACATTACAATGTGAGACCTCTTACTGTACGTAAATAGAGAGCAACAAGACATGAACTAATTTCCACACACTACCAGAAAATAAATTAGCATGAACTAGCTTCCATGTTTTCAAAAAAAAGTCACAAGGTGGCATAACTAGATTACGGGAAGTTAGGGAAATCACTATACCATACCCATGAAGGATAACACCAAAGAAATCATGATTCAAATGACCTTAAACCCTTAAATCTCTCGAAACTAAGATTGGGAAAATAAAATAAGAAACTCAGACTTTACCCAACTCGAATTGCAAATATAGGCATTTTCAGACTGAAATTTGAACAGCCTGCAGGGAAAAAACTTAACTACATGAGTCAAATTAGATAGTAAGAGCACAAGGAAATTTTAAGTAAAAGATGAAATTAAGTGATTGGGACAAAAATGCTACTGCACTACTATACTTAGTCAAACCAGTCACTCTCAAAATTTAAACAAGTCAAAAATCCAAAAACATTCAATCAGTTTATGGAAAGGAATGAACAACATGCTCTCCAAAATTAATTATTCATGCAGATGCATAACAAAACAGACATGAACCAAGACTCACGAGGTAATTTCGAAACTGATTACAACAATTCTATGAAAATCAAGATGATAGGAGCAACCATAGTCGTAAACCAGCATTCGAGTACCCAAACATACACACTTGAATCATAGAAAATGAAAGACCAAAGTCTTGATAATACAAGGCATCTTTATTCTGGCCAAATTTTTATAAAAGTACAACCGAATAAACAAATCAAACGAAAACCCAGACAAAGGAAAAGACGGTAGGAAAAGCGGGATTATATACCTTTTCTGTTATAACAAAAAGACATCGAGCTAGACGTTGTGATCCTTCCACCATGAAAGTGAAATCACGAACCAGAAACCCTTGCCGAAATTTAGAATTCAAAGCAACGACTAGCCTTTTCAAAAATTTGAATCGAAGAACTTCCTATTTTCTTTGTTTGGATTTTGCACTATGTTCTTTCCGTTTTACTTAAATTCTATGTATTTTTTATCTAGAAATTTTCCTACCTCCCAAAAATCTCTGTACCCAAAAATATTTTCTAATTCCCCCCAGCTCCCAAACAAAAAATTACAAGGGGGCATAAATAGAGGAGGTCTTTTGAAAAAATGGGCGGAAATGAGGACCCATTCCAAAGTCAAAATTTGTTTTATTGTAAGAGATAGGGTTGGACAGCTGGGAATCTATACAAAATTGCACAATTCCTCAACGGAACAACAATCTGGGCACTTGATTTCGAACAAGGATGAGAAAACGCACGAGATCTCGCTATCTCACAGTGTTCTTCCTACCAAATTGTACTCAGGGCAGAGAGATGAAGAAGACACAAGAAATTAGTTGATTTCCGTCTATCTTTATGATGGAATTGACATCGTTGGGATCGTTTAGTTATACTGTAATGGGTCGGGTTTGGGGAATAAAGGAGTGAGCTGGGAAACTTTGAACTAGGATGAGGTTTTTGTATTGGGTTACAAATGTTAAAGGTAAGGCCCAAATATTGTGTCTTAAAATTTCAAGTAAAATAGGGGTTGTGGGAGTTGGGAAAAGACTAGCTGAAATTTATTGTACAAGATGGCCCAAGAATTTTCAGCGTAGCCAATAAAAAATAAAAATTTAGCCGCATTGCTTAAATTCGACCAAGATGAATAAATGAAATTAATTAATGAGTTTCTTAATCTTACCGAAATAAAATAAAAATTTTAATAAACCGAATATATCAAAACTTTTACCATAATTTAAACTAAATTAATTTAATAAAACACTTATTGAAAATTAAAATCTCTATTTTTGGTGAATCAAAATTTACTAATCATATACATAATTATGTTAATCATATATAACATCTAAAAAAACACAAAGAGTGATAATATTAGTTTAAAATAACTTAAATAACATATTAGATTTTAAAATATATAATTATTTCAAATCGTTTAGAATTAAGAAACTCGTTATTTAATTCTTATAGGAAATTCAAAATTGGATGTCTACAATCCTTCCTCTTCATACCGCAATACTAATTGTGGGAAGAGGAATCACTATCGCAACAATGTTCAGAGCAATAATGGTGGTCGTGGAAGCTGTAAAGGTGCTACTTCTCACATGAAATCCGCACAAGGTAACCTCACGTCTTATTTTAATATAAGCAATAAACATGGAGTAATAGTGGGTAAGGGTCAATCAATTACAATTTAATTATCTTCTCCGTATCCTCCACTACAATTAAACTATGTCCTTCATGACCTGAATTGGAAGTGTCTATATTAAAAATAAGATGTGGGAGTTAGTGCCCCGTCGTTCAAATAGCTCATAAAGAAGGATATGATGGTTCATTTGAGAGGCATAAAGCTTATCTTGTAGGTGATGGTAAAACTCAACAGGTTGGCGTGGATTATGGTGAGATGTTTAGTCCGGTGGTAAAACCGGTGACTATTCTCACGGTTCTCAGTTTGACTCTCTCTAAGACCTAGGAGATCCATCAACTTGACGTAAAAAATGCTTTCCCTCATCGGGAGGATACAATTAACATTTATCAACCATTGGGGTATTGGGATTAGGATCGTCTAATCATGTGTGTTTGCTGAAGAAATCTCTGTATGAACTCAAATACGCTCCAAGGGCTTTGTATAAGAGTTTTCCCGACTATGTTCGTACTCTTGGTTCTTATCAAAGTACTTTGGATCATTCGTTATTTATTTATCGTCCAAGTTCTTTTATGGTTACCTTTTATTGTATGTCGATCATATATTCTTGACTTCTTCCTTAGATAAGCTCCGTTACTCGATCATCTCTCATCTAAGCTCAGAATTTGCTATGAAGGACTAAGGCCATTTAAGATATTTTCTGGGCATTGCAGTCACTCGTCATGCCTGTGGTTTATTTTTATCACAACAGAAATATGCTACATAGATCATTGAACGAGCAGGTTAGGTAATCTTGTAAGGAATCTCCTACTGTAGTGGCTACGAAACCGAAGCTTAGTACTACCACGAGCAAACTATTTGAGAATCCCTCACTTTATAGAAGTCTTGCCAGCGAATTTTAGTACCTTACGTTCACAAGACCCGATATGACGTATGTAGTACAACGGGAATGCTTATTCATGCATGAACCAAGGGAGGAACACATGCACGCCCTTAAGCACATTTTCGCTACATACAGGGTACTATGGATTTTAGTCTTCGCATGTTTCCTTCCTCCATATCAACCCTTATTTCGTATACTGATGCTGATTAGGGTTGATACTCAGATACACTATGTTCAACATTGGATTATTGTGTATTTTTGGGTGATAACTTGATCTCTCCGTCCGCTAAACGTCAGGCTACGCTATCCCATTTTAGTGCAGAGGTAGAATATCGAGGGGTAGCCAATGTGGTTTCAAAGTCGTGTTGGTTGCAAAAATTTTTGTTGGAATATCATTGTCCTATACAACAGGCTCCATGGTTGTATTGTGATATGTGAGTTTCATATATCTTGCTGGTAATCCAGTTCATCATCAACGTACTAAGCACATTGAAATAGATATGCATTTTGTTCGGGAAAAGGTGGCTCGCGACCATGTTCGCGTGTTACATGTCCCCTCGCGTAATCAGATTGTAGACATATTCACCAAGTTTCTTCCTTTGGTTTTATTTGAGGACTTTTGGGACATTCTTAGCATTCGACGACCTCCCGCTTCGACTTAGGGTGTGTGTATGATGAATATATTCTGATTTATTACCTTTGTTAAGTGTATATTAAGTTCTTACTTATAGATAGGTGTATATTTAGTTTCCTTTATTATAGTCTTGTATTGACTGTATATAAACCATTAATATCAATGAAATAGGGTAGGGAAACAACAAAACCATTTTTTTGAATCCATAAAACCAGCCAAAAAACATACCTTATCGATTTTTCCCTTTAATCACTGCAACCAGTGACTCCAATAACGAGCTTCAAGATCCGCGGAACTGGAGACAATAAAAGATAGTGGTCAGTCCCATCCCCCTTCCCTTTTCCAGTTTATGTTATTAATGAGCTCAAAGCTTGAAAAAATAACGAGCTCGGAGCTCTGACCTGTATCTCATGTGTGGCAAATTCGATTGGTGAATCCACATTATTATTACGGGTTCATCCAAATCCCCTTCAGAAGAAAATTATATGATTTTCTCATGGTTAAAATAATTTTGGAGGTAAATAATGTAGATATTATACCACATAGGCTACTTCATAAGTCTATTTCTTTAGTTTTTGAACCCTCCTACTGATAATTTTTACTCCACCACTTGCTCCAACTCCATTGGAAATGATAGATCCGGCATAGATCGTCAATACCCGATTAAACTCCATTCTTATTAATTTTTTTCAAATGAGAAAACATACCTTCGGTGACACTCTTTTATTCTTTGCATTAACACGTATCTATATCTATATTTTGTTTGTTACATGATTTTATTAACTGTTAGTTTAGTTTTTGATTCAATATGGTTGGGTTATTCTTGTTAATTTAATTTTTCTTATCCATCTATTTATGTTTATAACATTAAATTAATTATCGTAAGAAGTTCATTTTGTTATTTATTAATATTTTTATGAAGCTTTGTTTTAATTTTTCTTTTAGTAAAGTTGAATTTTGGTAGTTTCTGGTGTTTTGTTTCATTTTATTGTTTATGTTATTCAATTTCTTGTTGTTTCTTTATGGTGCACATTTCACTGCTCTTAATTTATTTAAATTATTGTACGAATTTTAAGGATTTTTAGCAAGCCGCGTATTGATATTGTTATGTTGTTATTTTACATAGTTGTTGCTACTTATTTTATTTTATCCTTTGATTAATTTAATATTTTTGTTGTGTTGATAAGAATATCATTTGAAATTGGCCAATGAAGTATCTCTCCGTCGATTTTCGAAGCCTCTCCATTTGAAAAGACGTAAATTTAGTTTAAAGTTGATATATTTTGTATGTTAAAAATGGCCTATGAAGAAATAACCGTCAATTTCCAATGCCTCCCATGTTAATAAGAGGAATTTTAATTTTTATGTTGTGATATAATTGATTTATTTCTACTCATGTTTATTTATTACTAACACTTTTATTAAGTGTCTTTATAACTACCTGGAGTTGCTTCTTGTTAAAACTATTGTTTAATCTTTATTTTGTATATATTAATGTTAGGCAAACTATGGGCCGTGTCTTATATTACTATTTTATTTTATTAATTGTGTAAATGTCATGTTTATTAAACTGATATATTGTTTACTAATTGTGTAAATCTCATGTTTATTATACTAACTTTTTTTTGGCCTCGTCAATTTTAAAAAAATGATTTCAGTTAGGTCCCACAATTTTAGATTTCGGTGTATGCCTATGTAATACCCTAGAAAATTATCGAACTAAGAACCAAGTGTTGTTTCGTTGTGAGTAGGATTTTACCTAGAAATTTAAAATTTCTTATGTCTTAAGGCCAGGTCACACTACATATAGTCCTTAACATCAAAAAAGAATTTAAAAAATTCATTCAATTCATTCTTTAGTTCTTGGGTCAACTTCAAACGACAAAATTTTTAAGTAAAGAATAAGTTATGAGGAATATAAGACAACAAATACAAGATATCTGAGTCCTCTTTCCAATGCCAAAAACATAACTAATTTTCCAGCTCGTATAAGGGAGATATTTCCTTTCGCAAAAGGCGATCCATTTAAGAAAAGTTACTCGAAAAATATGGGGGGTATTTGGTGTTTTTCTTACCCAATGATATCAAAATGAAATACAGTAATTGATATACCGTGGTTTCACGGTATTTTTAATGCTTTTCCCTTAAGTTTAGTGTGTGTCCAAAAGCCTTTTTGTATAGATTTTTATGTTAGTTTCTCTTTATTTGCAGAAAATCTGTCAAAAGATGAACACTGATCTTTTTGAGCAAGAAATGCATAAAAGTTACTACCTACAGAGATTATGACGGTCCGTCGAGCTTGCAACGATCCATAGGTGGCAACGTAGTGAAGATGCCGAAGGAAGATGGGGAATTCTGACCAAGTGTGAGATTACGAAAGTTTATGACGGACCATCATAGCCACGACGGTCCGTCCTGTTGGTTCATCGCGATGATCAGAGAGTAGTCCCAGTATCCAATTTCCAAGAAGTTTAAGTGTTATGGAACGCAGACCGTCGACGGACCATCATGCTTGGAACAGTCTATCATACCTGCCGTTGAGGTTAATAAGGAGAGCAGCAGAAGAATTTCTAAACTATGGGACGACGGAGGCCATGACAGCCCATCGTGACCATGACATCCCGCCGTGACCATGATGGTCAGTCACGAGGTCCGTCGACCCAGCCGCGTTTTGACATTTTTTCATTAATCAGAGTCCTTCTTTTATTAGATTTTTGGTTTTTATAAAGAGTTTGAAAAACCGTATTTTTGGTGATAGACTTTTTGGTGCTAGACTTTTTGGTGTTAGACTCTTTGTTAGTAAACTCATTGATATTAAA